ATAGCCTTGACAAGGAGGGGTATCCGGGGTGCGATATCGTCGTTCTGGAGGAGGGTGGTGAGACTGTTCATAGTCTTGACTGCTTGTTTTGCAACCTGTTCATAATTAGCATGGCTTTGTGGTTTTCATAATGCGGCAGTGGCATACCTCTGTCTTGAGATCGTGCATTCCAGACTCGACGATGGGGATGAGGCCCTCGAGCTTCTTGCCCATGGTCTCGCGCAGAACGTCCTTTTCCTTCTCTACCTCAAAGCTCTCCATGCCCATCTTGGCCTTGTCAGCCATGCGGCCGATGAGCTCATACGCGAAAGCAGCACCTTGCCACTTTCCAGACTTCTTGCCCAGGTATTTTGAGAGCACAGGGAGTAGGCCGACGACCTTGGCCTCAGCGCTCAGGTTGTTAAAGAGCGAGTCGAGCGCATACTTGGCCGACTCCTTGACGGCGCCAGTCTTGTCTGCCATAAGGTCGAGCGCCAGGGGCACTAGACCTTCTTCCTGGACGAGAAAGATGGCCTCTGTGATGCGCAGCGTGGGCGGGAGGCGCTCAAAAAAGGCACCGAGGGCGTTCATGGCGCCCTCTCTTCGCACGGCATCCTTCTTGTTGCCGGCGTGTTTCTTGATGTCGTCGATTATGCCATAACCACGAAGGCCGCGGAAGCCAACTGAGTTCTGGAGGAGGGTAGTGAGGGCGTAGGCGGCGTCGACCGATGCGTGCGACGTCTTTGCCGTGACGATGCTTTCGATGAAGGCGCTGACATCTTCCTGCGAGGGAGCAGGGCTGGTGCCAGCCTTGTCGACAACGATAGCAGGAGCCATGGATGGCGATTCAGAGTGCGGCATCTGCTCGAGGGAGATGGTGCGCTGCACTTTTTCTCTGGGAGCGGCGAGGGATTTCTTTTTTGGAGGGGCTTCCTTATCGATATCAGGCAAGGTTGGTGGCTGCAAGCGTAAGCGGCGCGCAGCAGCGTGGGAGAAGAAAAAAACGAGCGCAAAAACGCGGGTATCAAACGTGTAGAGACGCCCCGGTGGAAGAGTGGAGAGTCTATACAAAACACAGGAGTAGTGAAGAAGGAGCGTTGGTTGGGCACGCCGGGCAAAAGTGTCGAGGGGCCTGTCTTGTACTCTACAGTCGGGCGCGGATCTAAATGGATTATTTTCGCCCACGGGTCAGGGCGCCGCTTGCGTGCACGTTTTTCCTTTTCGCCCGCCCTAGTCCTGCTTCCGCTTACTGCAGGGCTGGCTGACCCTCGCCGGATATCCCATCTTGCGTCTACACCGTATCCTGCTTACCACCTGCCTACCTACCGTTGGCCCAGCCTGAAACAAGTCAAAAGTATATCGTTTGATGCGACCTTGATGCGGCGAGTCTTCCTTCAACTGTGGAACCTCGCTTCACCACCCATGTTTCGACCACTTTGCTCAAATCCCGCGTAATATACACCTCCTTCTTGCTCATCTACTCACCGCCAGTGCCCGCCATCTGCGAACCAACAGAGTGGCTCAAGAACCCCCACACGCTTTCTAGGGCTCATATCTTCCATCTTAGGGTACATGAAGTACTTGTCATCTACCGACACTAGCGCAAGGAATGCAGACACTAACACGCTTAGCATACAAGTCCCTCAACAAGGAGCCTGGCATTTTACCCACACAATACTGATAAGCAATAATTCTCCATACCCGCCGCTCTGCCCAGGTCTCCGAGCAGAGTTTATGTAAGATGCAATTTATTAAATCACTTTCAGGCCGTCTGTCATGGCCTTGACAGCGGGTACTCCACCAGTAGAGATAACCGTACAGGCGAGGACAGATATCAGTATGCCGGAAGAATTACAAGCGCACTGGCAACCGCTTCAGAAGCCTGAACTAGTGTAGCAGTTTTCAAGGAACTTTCAATAGTAGCACTCACTGATATTTTCCACTTGGAGTATCAAGAATACGCGTAATGCCAGTCGAGAAGAACAAAGGAAGTCATGATAGGGGTCCACGCTAGCGGGGCGCTTAAATCCGCGCTATCCCCGACGCACATGCTTTCTTCCATGTGCTACCGTACCCGCCTGGGCAAATATTCCTTCTCTGTCTTGCGATTAGAGCATAACGTAAATCGCTGAATACGTCTTAAATTCAGGTCTCAGGCCATCTTTTCGACCTCGACAAACCCGTATATTCAGAAAAGATGATTAAACGCCAACATCCTTTTGCACATCTTTACTAGACGCCACACTTCGAACGGTCTTTAAGAGTCAACGTAATCAATAACAAGAGCCAGTATATCTCATGAAAATTTATACGAAATCCTGAATAGTACGATGAAACTGTTGTGGGGTTCAACGCTTTTGAATCATCACACTGCGAACGCCTCCATTCACATGTATATTACCGGATGATACCCCAGTGGCTCAACGTGCTTTGAATGTTGGCTTTCAACTACCGTGGCAAAACTAGCTTCAGCTGTTGTCATAGAAACACTCTCAGGATCATTTATGCAATTGTACAAATTCAGGTCTTCTTGCTGAGACCTACATACAGGACTCGACATTTCACTATAATAATCGCTGTACTCCCCCCGCAAATCTACCCCACAATTTCGTATAACCAAGTATATTATTTTTTGGTAAGAGGATCAGATAGCGGTCCGAATGTCGCGGTGGTATGCCGCTGGTGCCATTCCCCATCGTCGGGGATACCTGTTTCACAGACCGCTAGGAACGGAAAGGACTTCCTTGGGCATCGCAGCTGCTGGCATCTTTGGGCCCAACATCTATTGCGCATCATTTGGTGAACCCGATCTAGTTGAGTCGCAAATCGCTTTCGAATACGTAACTCGTTAGTATGGTGAGCTGCTTCCGCAATTTTGATAGAGACTTTGGTGTTTGATACACATACATACACTACAGCCAATGTTGCTTCAAGCTTACACAATCTTCTTTACCACTTCCAGCTGAAGTGCTCTTTTTCTTACCAGCCATCTTCCATGTGTATCCATGACCATATAGTCGTTACGTCCAATACTATACAATCTCATATGCTAGCTTATGTGCCCAGTAACCCAAGATTACTCAATAGCCTTCATGTAAACATGCATTATTAAAGAAAACTATAAAAGATGTGCAATATCTCCATGTGACGACCTAAGTCATGTTCAATAACTCATCTCCACCGAAGTGGAAACTGTAGGGCACTTTGCCGACGCTGTGTTAGAAGTATACAGTCATCTCTTCCGTTTTTATCTTTTCAGATGACAGAAATATCTCGTTTGCTTCATCCAACTCCTACGATACATAAAGCAAGAAGCATATCCTCTTTTTCGGTGTTTTTCAATCATCCAACCTGGGAAGGTGTTTCTTTCGAAACATTCTTCACACCACTCTTAACAGTGATGCCACAAATATCTGAGTGTCCGATAATTCGATGAGTCCATATATTCTAACAACAGCTTAGCGCCCACTTCTACCAGAAGCACTTAAAAATTAGAACTGTTATATATTTTCCGGCCATCATTAATAGACTTTCTCTTTCTCGATTCTCATGAACATTTTCCAAATAACGGCAATGGTACTATCATATCCATAGGGTTTTCTCATTTCACAATCTATGGCCTTTAAAGCAGGTGCCTCGATACTCTCTAGCATATTTAGTTCTTTTTTTTAATCTCTACTAGTGATAGTTTCACCACATATTGTCCTCCCTTCTCTATCTCAATGTATAGCAAGTCGCTTTTCACATCCCTTCTACCCCACGCTTCTGTCATAAAAATATTGATCAAGTCCTTCACTTTAGATCTAGTAATGAAACTCACACTGCGTGGGCTCCGATACTTCACTCTTGAGAAAAAGAGAAACTTATTACCAGGAGTCTGTCACATCTTCAAAATCAGTAGTATTTACAAATGCGAAATCTGCAAACCCGGGTAATCACATATATCCTAGGTATGTCCGAACTTCGGCATAAACATTTTCACTGTGTATCTTTGGGCCGTATACTTATACAAATATCGCTGGGAGTACGAAGAATCTTCAATAGCCCCTAGGAGTTAGAAAATCGTCGTATTTTGCTCATCATCATTTTCATGTCGGAAAGAAAAACATCGTAGACAAGATAAGGTGATATTGTAAGAAGCAATAACAAAGTTGAAACTTGTGTTTTCTTTTTCGAGTGCATGGAAAATAATAGTCCCCTCCTTCTTTTCCCATCGATGACATAGCAACGGCTCGTACAATTTTGTTGCAAAATGTCTCCGATCGAAAGACATCAGCATGCTGTAGAAAAAATGACATAGGTGTTTCGATCAAAAGGTTTCAACCAAGGGCATCAGAAGTCTAGGTCATAATAGCTTTTTACATCAACAGTGAAAAAATGGAGTCGTCAAATTCAAACAGATGTCAGCATACGGAAGTGTCCCGACAAACATCAAAATTTAAAAATGGAAAAAAGTCCAAGTCAAATTTGCAGACGTTCTACTGAAGAAGAAAAAAAAAACTCAAATTTTGACAAAAAGAAGGCACTATAACCAAGGAGGGAAAAGACTACGACCTAATTAAAAGACCCTAGAAAGCTATACCACACCCTCTATATCTTCCCCCGCCAAGTTTGCTCCTCACCCAACCATCCACACCCGCCCTCTCACCCACCCAGTCACCTGCTCTAACCCAACAGACAGCCTCAGCAGCAACAAAAGACGCCACGCAAACCCCCCAATCACAAGCCACCACACCCAATACTTACCACCACACCCAGTACTTACCACCATACCCAATACTATGTCCCTCACCCAATACTCACCACCCTTACCCAATACCTCGCAACACCCCTCTTCCCCATCCTACTCGCCCACCCCACAAATCCCCCCGATTACCACGATCCACCACGTCATCCTTAACACCCATCCCAGCCCAGCGGCGACGGAGGCGGTTGGTCGGGACCGGCCTCCCGAAGCCAAAAAAAAAATCGACTTTCTGTTACGAGTAACAAGAAGGATTCTCTCCTTGACAAATGACGAGATGGCTGCGAGCCTAGGGACGTCCACGTCAAAAGGAAACGGACATTGCGGGGCTCAGAGTCACGTAATATACTATCCCGCCAAGACGAGATATCCTACTAAGCTTAGGATAGTAATAGGCCTTAGGATAGTAGTCTATTCTAGATATCCTACTAAGAGAGGAAAAGATAGAATAGATAAGATAGCAGGATTAAAAGTAATAAAGATATAAAGATAGATAGATTCTATTATTACTCTTATTATAGTTAACTTAAATTATACTTTCTTACTAGTATCTTTTACTTTATAAGATAGTTATATATTAGTCTATTAAATAGATTAATATTATTAAACTC